CGCCGGCCGGCCGGCGGACTATGAAAGCAGCCATAGCGCCAGATGTGATATAAGAGGGGGCCTAAAATTCATCCTATGGGGAACACTTAGAAACCATTTTTATCGTGACCTGTGCCTTTGATTTTATTCCAGTCGCGCTATTCGGAAGTCGAAAAGGTAAGGCAGAGTAAAACACTCAAGAGTAACCGTGGACTTTAACAACATCAATTCGTTGCATATTGCTGCTGGTTATACTCCATCAGTTGGGTCGCTGGACTTTGAGGAATCGCCGTAGTTCTTTATCCAAAAATTCTAATAATGCTTAGCTCGCTCCAACTTGATGAGCAGATGCAAAAACGGTCTTTATGCATATGTCTGTCAATTTCTTGCCTTTGAAAGCATTCGGTTTTTGAAGGCACCTATCACAAAAAAGTTAGGGTACCCTTTTCTGACGGGAATTGATAGAACTACTCTAGAATAAAGCGATAACAACGAAAAAAGCGCAAAAAACGATGAACAAAAAGAATTAAAAAGGGCCAAAAAAAAAGAGCTGGAAATGGGGTTGGACGAGTTTCACAGTGAAAGAACGTCGGTTAGAGAGTGTTCGGGCAAGTTGGCAAATTGCCAGGGACGGCAAATTGGCAACTTGCCAGAGACGCAATGTGTTGTCTGCAATAGCATGCAACACATTGCGTCCCTGGCAATTTGCCAATTTGCAATTCAGGGTGGGTCCTGGCGCGATTACATGACACTGTGTCGTCTCGACACTCGTCTAACGTGACACCGATCAAGGGGCGGAGGGCGACCGTGGATATCTGTCCGGCCCCTGATTGTGCCCTATTCAGCCGTTTTCCGACCTCATTCCTGCACAAATGGTATCAGAGGGGGCGTCGAATTCAAACTATGTGCAAATGTCCGAAACAATGTTTTTGTTAACAGTGCCTTTAACAGAAGATTCGGATCAGATGCTGTTCCATGGTCACCCTTCGAGGGCTTGCCGCGTCGGTGTCTTGCTTCCCTAAATCTAAGCTTTTTCGTCTCGTTACATATTCTTTTACGTCTTGCTTCATATCTTCTTTGATATGATCGCATTATCGTAAAAGAACTAGTACTATTCTCTCTCTAAAGGCTATCAACTCCGCAACATTTATTTGCTTACGTTACTATTTCCAAGAAGTAGCCCTTCAGATACTGCACGAGTCAGGGAGAGTATCTCATCAACATCGAAGGAGCACAAACCCAGTCTCCTTATGAGTTCTATGCAAGACCAATCAAAAGGGAACGCATTCGTGTTACTGGAGGCTTGTCACTGCAAATTTACAAGTATTGACCAATGCAGGAAGTGTATAGAATTGAATCAAACATTACAGCTGAAAATGGCGATACCGACGAGTTCGTGGAGAGAGAACAATTAGAGAATGAAACATCTGCAATGCTTAGCGCCCATGAAGAGTTGAAGAAAAAAGCCACAATTTTGGATGCATTTTATTCTCTCGAAGAAAACCGGAGTCCTTTAGAAAAGAATCAATGGTTTGGCTGTTGTTATTTCAAAACCTATCGTCGCGTAACTTTCTTTTTCAAGCATTGAATGGTTACGCGACAAAATCAGAGTGTTTGGTATTTGTGCTTGTTCGGAAGAGCGTGGTGCCTATACCGGAGAGTGGCAACGAGTCGAGGTATTCTGATTTCCGTCTTTTGTTCGTCGCTTTCAGCAGGCAGCTTCGATAATGTTAATGAGTGATCCTTTCCTTACATTCTATATGCTATGCTATGCTATGCTATGCATATGCTCTGAAATATATGCTCTAAATATTTATGCTCTAAAACCTATGCTATGCATATGCTCTAAAATATATGCTCTAAATATTTATATATGCTCTAAAAAGTCTGTCTGTTCGTCCGTCCGTCCGTCTGTCTGTCTGTCTGTCTGTCTGTCTGTTTGTACGGAAATTCATAACTCCTGTCCGCGTGGACTTGGGACGTTCAAATTTGGTAGCAGCACATATAGGGGTGGCAGGACCGGACTCCGCCCACAGGGATAGTTGGAGGTAATGGAACAAATGTGGCCGAACCCTCGAAGTGGGCGGGGCTGGCACCAAAGCGGGCGGAGCTTGGATCAAAAATTTATAATTCTGTTCAGAAACGTTCTGGGATGTGGCAAAAAGGTGTTAAGGTGCAAAGGAACACATTTGGACAAATCCCAGAATGGGCGGGGATGGCACTAAAGTGGGCGGGGCTTAGATCGAAAATTCATAACTATATAGAAACATTATGGGATGCGGGAAAAAAGTGGTAAATGTAGTAGAACAAATGTGGTCAGATTCCACAGGTGGGCGGGATTGGCACTAAAAGGGGCTTACATTAAAATTATTAAGTCTCTTCAGATGCGTTTTAGAACGCTGGAAAAAGGTGTCTGGAGGTAATAAAAGTAATGTGGTTCGAAGTATGAAGTGGATGGGGTTTGCAAAGAGGGAGGCGGGGCTAAGGTCATAAATTTATACATCTGTCCTTCAAACTAACCCTCACCACATAGGTGTACAACTAGGGGATACCACTAAACTCTGTCAAAAACTAGGCTAAAATTGTTTTAAAAGTTAGTATCCATGGTGCAACACACAGTAGTCCCTTCTACACAAGAGCAAATGCACTACATTAACTTTAGACCTCATGAAATAATTTCTACAATAACCCGGCCACATCTCCACAGGTTGCATACCCTGTAGAGATTACCCAAAGGGGCTATCCTTTCAAAGTTAGTGTTCATGGCCACACAATAGACTGCAGAGGTATTTGATTGGGATGCCCACACACAGCCCCATTTCACGTCCCAAAAAAGTGATGGCCCCACAGAAGTGTCAGGGAAGAGGCTCAGATGATGAAGGTCTGTAATGAAAATCAGAAGCCNCATGGCCACACACAGCCCAAACAACACAGTTTCTTCGACTACATAGACTGCAGAGGTATTTGATTGGGATGCCCACACACAGCCCCATTTCACGTCCCAAAAAAGTGATGGCCCCACAGAAGTGTCAGGGAAGAGGCTCAGATGATGAAGGTCTGTAATGAAAATCAGAAGCCATATGGCTCCGTCCCTCATGGCCAGAGCGCACGCAGTAGCGTGCGTAGCTGCCTCGTCTTTATTTATTTATTTATTCATTTATTTATTGAATGCGCTCAAAAGGCGCGCTACAAAGGAAAGCTCGAGCCGCTGGTTTTGCATTACAAGAGAGATTAAGAGGTGAGAGAAATAAAATTAACGAAATGATCAAACAGAAAAATTCTTGACAGGAAGGCCTGTAGGATAGGGGGTTCATATACCCCTTTTCAACTTATTGGATCAGACTTCACTAGACTTTACAATTTTGTTGTGACTACCTTTCCAAAATCATGTTCTTCATTGTGTGCACCTAGTCGAAATGCGTTTTATCGTCAAAGAGGTTAAGTTTAACGATTTTATAATTAATATTTGTATGGTATTTTGCAGGTGAAAAAATTTTGGGTGCTTCAGGATTTTCACTCAAAAATTCTTGCCTTGTTAGCCAAATATTTTACAACATCACCTTCCAGCGGCATTTCTATCGGCCCTAACGATTTTCTACGTGTGCTCGTTTCCATTCCAAACTAGGTACATCTCCTAGTCCAAATTTATGAAGAACAAATAGACAAACATTGAAAGCCAGAGCAAGCTCGGGTAGTCGAAGTGAGCACACATCATCGTCTACTAGTCAAGGTCAAGCTTTTTCTCGATTGTGTTATTTCCACGCACTCATCCCATTTCATGATTGAAATGATAGAAAAAGTTTTGCTCCCAAAGCAGCGTCTGTCTTACAAATCTCGAGATCTTTTCAGAAAAAAAAAACTCGTAGACAATGTAAACACCGTGATCACATATTTTTCATTAAGGTTCTGTCGTGCGATACGTTCGCCAATGTTCTCTACCTTGATTCTGGCGGAACTGAGCTGGTGCTACCACACAGTCTTTACAAAATTCTTCCAATGTATGTCGTGTCTTGTTGTTTTGTTATTTATTAATTTTGTCCGATCTAGAGGTTTCTAGTCGCTGCGTTTTCGTTTTTTACATAATTTTGCTTTCCAGGAACTAACTGGTAAGCTGTGATAACTACGGGTCGTATTTGATTTCACAAGTTACTTCAAAGATTTGTGAATCACTCCATTTCCTTTTTCATGTTGTTTTTAAAGTCTGCCATGCTAAACAGCGATTAGATCCCTAATTTCCGTAACTTTTCCTTTGAAAAGCTCTTTTCCGTCCGGGGGTCTGGGCACCAACTATTATTTCATCTGTCTGCTGTGGATAATTTTATCGCCCTGCCTTTTGACCACGTTACAAGCTTCGCTTCCAAAATAGGTTCCCACTCAATGTGAGCTGGTGTTCCGAATCCCCGTTTTAATGTTCTCAATCGATCTTCGAATTTAACCTATATATTCGTCGTTTTCGAATGCCCTTCCAGCTTCTCGAGCGTTTGCTTGAAAGCGATAAATTTTTTATAATTACTGCCAATTTCTTCTTGGTAATTCCCAAAGTAAGCTCCATAAAAGGTAGGAAACCTATCTTACCGGGTGAGCGAAATTCAGTGCGATTGAGGTCACTTCGCACCTAGGTGCGAGCCGATCTTCATTAGGTGTGAGCACTCCGTAATTCTTATGCTGTATGAATATCATTATTAAGCTAATAAAAGCCAAATTAATGTAGAGAACATCAGTAACGAGAAAATGAAGTATGTTGAGAAAAATAATGAACTGAACTGTGAAACACAGTAATGCTAATGAAGACAGTAACGCTGGTGAAGTTTATTTTTGTTTGTTTTTTAAACGTGTATGTGAAGCGGAGCAGGATATTAGCTCTTTTTTTTTNTTTTTTTTTACTGAACTATCATACTCCTTTTCACTGGATTTTTTTTTTATTTTGCACGAAATTAAAACTACTAGCTAGTTATAGTGAACTTTTTTCTGTTGAAACCGAACTTCCCATAGAAGCTTCACTTTCGTGCTGTTGTTATCCTCTTCCATCAATGACCTTTGACTTTCTTCATATCGATAGGCGGCAGCATATAATCCTTTACTTTTCACACACCTGATGAGAACACCTGATGAAAATCGCCTCGCGCCGAGGTACGAGGTGAACTAAATCTCAGCGAAGTTCCCACACACATCCTGCTCTCTAGGGTTCTTATCCATTTCTGTTTGTTCTTGGTCTTTTTTTGCTTATAGTGCCTCTTCTGTCTGCCATGATCCTATGGTGTTTTTCGTTGATAACACGCCATCGTCATGTCACTGTTCCACTTTGGAGGAAAAATGAGGGAAGACTAGGAAAACTGAAATGAATAGCTCGTGTTTATAATATCTCTGTCGGTAATCGTCGGAATAGGCAAAACAGTATATAACTACTTTAAGGCACTGTAACTATCCACCTATGTGCATGCAGTTGTGTATGTACGGCGTCGGTCCAAGTAGCGCAGATACATCCACTGATTGGCCAGAAGGTGCAAAGACGCTGTGGAGGAAACTACTCCGTGAAGATCTTCCCATGGCGATATCTGTTATAAGTAAGACTGATCACTTATTATTTCAGTTTCTTTTAAACCATATCGACAATTGAACATGGCGTGTACAACCATGTACTAAATTCCATTCAACGTACCATACGATACCATTATATCTATACATCTATCATGTTTTCGGCTCACAGTCAGACCTGATTTTTTAGTTTCATCTACTAAAGTGATCACACTCCTTCATTCTCCGGTTATAAGTTTGGCTTGAATAGAACTTTCCTGTTTTTCCTTTAATTTCTTCCATTAGTTTTTGAAAGAAATCTTGTTTTGTTGAGTTCACAAAATTCTCTCATGTGCTTGTCAAAAGCCAAACCGAAAATTAGCGAATCGAAGAAATTGGAGGAAAAAACTGCGATAATGGAGGTGTACGGCAAAACAGGGGAGAATGCCTTTAGGATTTCCGCGGCCATGGATCCCGGTAAAGAAGACTACCGATGTCGTAGTCCCGAAAGCGTCGTTGGGGAAACTGAGGCAGATGTTTTCTTTACAGGAAGTCGGTAGCTCGAGTCGTGACTACTAAGATTTTCTATGCAATGGCGAGAATCAAAAACATGTATCATAGGACTTCTCTTCTGGTCACTGCGCCATCACCACCAGAAGATGCTGGTATAAGCGGAGCGTTTAGTATGGAGGATAAAGTTTTTGGCGTTAATCAATCCCGTCTGAGGGATGCGCCCCCGCACTCGACTTCTATTCAGAATCGTAGTGGCGTAATGGCTGCTTTCATAGTCCGCCGGTCGGCCGGCGNCCCCCTAGCACTGCCTCCGCCGGCACGCCGGCACGCCGGCCGGCCGGCGGACTATGAAAGCAGCCAATGAGTACGTATGTGGCCTATACAATGACTTGCGGTGGCCAGCCGAGGTTGGAAGCCTTTGTTGGCCTAGGCGGGCCTCTATCCGGGATTCGAACCCCTGACCGTGCGTGTAATATAGTGCGCCACTTGCCACTACACGACTTCCGCCTGCGTTCAGTATGACACTCTACAAACCAGGAAAGCGATGCATCGATAGGCGACCAGTGCACACGAAGGCAGCATGTACTTACTCATTTACACTGGGATGCAATAGGGATCACAACACGAGTGTGTGATGTGAAGCGATGTGTCGATAGCCTTCGTGGGCCGATTGCTGTTTATGGAAGCGTGTAAGATGTAGGCTGAGAAATAAAGTAAAAGCACAGTTCACGATAATTTTTGAGCACACGGTTTTTGACGGTAAATGAAAAGACCAGTCTAGAATAGTGCGAAAATAACGAGAAGTGCAAAAAACGGCATTTAAAAAGAAATTCAGAGATGGCAAAGTTCGTGGCGATTTGAACGACCTCAGCGCCTATCATTGGGGCCCAAATTTGGAGTAAAGTAGATTTCAAGGATCATCTGACCCTACTAAACTACTCTACTGCAGGTGTGTCCCCCGAAACTGGCGTCAGAGTCGTACAAATCGTCACGAACTTCGCCGCGTAAATTGCCGCGCGCATCTTCGGACGCACGTAAGTTCCGTCCCCCTGATGAAGGGAGTGTTCGAGCGAGTAGACGAAGGCGACGCAATGTCTGCATTTGCATACAATAAATCCATACAGCAGCAAGGGGCGTAGAGAGCATACAAAAAGTAACCTAAAATTGCTCAGCATACTTTAATACAATGTCTAAAAGTGTTCTTGGCATTTAACAAGAACAGTGCAAAGACATCATATTGAAGAAATTGCTTTCAACAAAAAAAAANNAAAAAAAAACAGAAAAATCACAACAGAAACATTGAAAATCATAGCGTAAGTTAACAAAACGACCAACAGCTAAAATGAACTCACCTTTTCAGTCCTTATACGGTACGAATAGTAGAAAAGCAGTAAAATATCTCCTCATCACTCGGCCATTAGCTGATTGTGTGTGGGTCCTAGAACGAATAATTGCAGTCTGTATCGCCTCGACACTCGTCTGACGTGATATCGGTCGAGAGGCTATCCTTATGAATACGGTCAGGAGGGCGAAAAATCTTAATCGGGTCGTCAAGAACGAGCAGAATCCATGGAGCTTGCTAGGAAAGAGGCTGGCTATCTGTAATAGGTATCCCACGAGGAACCAGTGCACTGGCTGATCACCACGGTGGAGGCCACACGAGTCAGCGACCAAAATTTCGGAGAAGGTGCCTACTCGTCTTCACTTTTTGTCCCGCTCCGTTAATTCGTGTGAATGGCTTCGCGTGAGAGAGATCTCGATGATACGCCCGAATGGTTGGAGTTCCTACTTTAAATCTAGGGTAGAGACTAGTACAAAACCTATATGATTGTTTTTGTGCCCCCCCCCCCTAGTGTCATGTGTCCATATGGGCGAGGGGGTGACTATTGCGACAGAGGGGTGATGTACTTGATCACATACAAGCTCTGTTGGGATGAATACATAGGCGAGACTGCACGACCTATTCTATGCAGGTTAAGGGTGGATGGATGAAGAGATTAAGGTCTGAAACACCTCTGGGAGACCGTAGGAGGCATTGCCATGAAGATGCAGAGTTAGGGGTATCAATAAGTATCTTGATGCGGGACCCACGACCTCAGCGCGAAAAGCTTTCGAAGCTTTCTGGATCAGTACGAAAAATCTCATAATGTTCCGAGAATATGGATTTCTTGCTGTAAAAACGAGTTTGTCCCATTCTTTGAGCTGTGTGGATTTCAACTGCCGCTGGCGTCAAGCCAGGGATCAGGACATTCGGAGCCCACCCACAGCGAAGTATTCAAGTACGCAGTTTAGAAATAAGAGTCAACGGTTTTCCTTTGGACACCTAATATGTGTTATTTAATGTGATCTGAAAGACTTTACTGGATGTCTATAGGCTACACTTGAACTAAGCTAAGGTCCAAACGTTGTTTGGTCAGGATGAATCCCAAATGTTTTTTGGTTTCCAGGCTCTGACGAGGCGACTGGCCGAAATGTTAGCTTGATAAAAATTAAAACATCTCGGCCGAGGCTTCAGAGAAGACCACGATAGACGACAGAATAAAGTGAGAGTCGAACATGGTTGCTTACAAATGAGTTATTTCTTAATATTTATCAACTACGTCTACAATACGTTCAATCTGCTGCTGTTGATACCGTACATTGAATTTAATCGTCACAATGATTGGATCTCATCGTAAAACAACCTTCCTTCAAACGAGCACCATAAACTTTCAGCCGAAAGCTTGAGTAGTACTTTGGAGCTCAACTTTCCAAATTCGGAGTGGTCTATGTAAATCGATCATGAAAGATGGTTTGAGAAGTCGTAAAATTTACAAGATCGCCCCATATTGCTGAGGTATTGTAGGGGCAATGGGTACACTGCTATACACGCATGGTCACGGGTACAGCTCTCGAGTCGATATCCGCCGGGGATTGGGTTATTGATACGGGACTCGTTGGGATGATAAAGTCGCTTGTACATTGGCTGGACACAGCATGTCATTGTACTGGTCGGACCGCCCGCATCCTTTTCAAATTTGGAGGCTTCGGTAGATAGATGATAACAGGAGTATTCATTCCCGACCAAAAGCGTAACCCAACACAATTCGTGCGCGCCTCGTCCGCCATGACCTCAGGTTCTGTAAGTTTGAACTCGATTTTTTCCAAATTATTCAACCTTGGTTTCAAAATTTCGCTTCAAACTGAAATCAACATTTCTTCTGCCGACGCTTCGCCTCCTGTGAGTGTCGCTATGCCCAATATTACTCATTTTATTATGCGCATTTTTTTACATCTTAATCGACTATTTTGGCTTCCTTTCCACTCATCGCTAACTTTTGAACGTCCTTCTGTTAATAAATTCTCAGACACCTTGTGGTAAATGGGTGTTGTGAAAATCAACACGCTCATGTCATTGTCGATTGAGGGTAATTGAAGGGGTGCATTTTACCACGAGTTGTGAACACTTCAAGTTGCCAAGCGAACAACTTTTCGTATTATGGTATTCGATACGTCAAGAAGATTTTAATTTATCGACTGCTCTTTCTCCCTCAATAAAAGTAAGGCGAATCAAAGAGTTTTGTTGGCAACGCTGATCTTTGCTCCGACTATGATTTCTTACATAACTGCAAAAGATTTCTTTGCAGAGCGCTTGAACACAACCAAAGACAATGAAGTTTTACCCGCTGGTGCTCCTGCATGGCAGCGTCCCGGTGTGATATTCGTGCAGTCTTTGAGAGTTTATGGAGAGGATATCACCATTCAAGACAAATTCTGTAGGGAATCTTTATTTCCAAATAATGGGATTTGGAGGCCTGACTTTCCTCGCGAGTGGAATTACGACTAGATTATGAGGTTCTGAGTTGCATTTTTCCGCATTCGAGCAGGCCCCTCTTCTCTGTTATTGTGTTGTGATGTATGTATTAGAGATTTTATTATCTGATTTGCTAAGCTAGGAGATTTCGTCCCCGTGAGATTGTTTTTTCACCCATTGGTAACGATCGCACTTATTTTTATTGCCAGCCACATAAATATCAAGCTTTTCTTTGCACAAGATGTTATTAAGCACGGTGCATTCCGAAATTATGAGGTTTTGATTTATGTACATGTGCTGTGTTGTTGTGATAAATTTTTTCCGGCACAACGAAGTCCAGGATAATTTCGAGGGACCGACCCGCTTTGAGTTAAAACGGAAGAACTATGGTGCTGAATATTACATAGGAGATGAGAGAGCACGAAAACATGGGGAATTTCAGATATACGAGGCTTCTTAAAGGTAGCTGAAATAGGGGAGTTTTTGAGGTATTGACGATGGGAGGGCATGAGAGAGTATTTGGACGATACGTCAACTAAGCTCAACTGAATGGAATGTTCCCTAAAGTGAAAAATCTGAAGATCGCCTTTCGCTGTCGACATCGGTCGGACTGTCCATTTAAGTATCAGATCCGTCCGGGAGGATAAAAGCACTGACCTAAACGTGTTATATGCCTTACTTTTTGGAAACTACGATCTCTATTGCGATTTTATCGACGTATTTTCAAGTGTCGAGAACGCTCTCACACCCAGTTCCGAAGAAAGTCTTCTATGGACAACAACCTGTATTCGATGCCCTTTCCTAGAGTTGCCCATTGGAGTTTGCAGGCAAACTCTCTGCTGTTACTAATTTTTTACATGTTTTTAATAAGTTGCCTTGTTTGCTCCCGGTTAGCCTCGAGAACACTGAATGTTTGACCTCGTAGACCTCGCTGGTCTCCTTTATATGTATATGTATATGAAATTTTCAGTTGTTATTCTCACGTCTCCTGTGAGTGATGAATTTTATATCAGATTGTTTGTTTGTCATACTCTTTCTCTCTCTTTTATTTTCTGTACATTGTTGTTGACGAGTCGTTTTCAATTGTCGAATACTGTGTGTCCCTGTTTTGAGGAATTCAAAATTCTTTAAACTTTGTGTTTCCTGGCGCACTATCCCATGTCTCGTAAAATTATTTTGTGGTGACTGTTATTCGAATACGTGCTGTTATTCCTTTCCGTTTGCTTACTCTCTCTCTCTCTATAGTATTGTTGATGTATTCTTGTTAACTAGATGAATTGCGCGGCTGACGCCGAGCTCTCCGCCATATTGTGTCAGAGTTGGAAATTCTTGCTGGCGTCAATCATTCCTCCTTTCCTACCACACGTCAGCGCTCTATGTCTAAAGAGAGCGAAACTGTGAATAAACGATATATAATCTGGGACTCTTTTCCACTTTGTGTCAGAGTTGGACGTTTTTGATTGGGACTGTCGATTTGAGACATGGCTCCGCGCCGCCTACTTTCATGTTCTTTGTTCCTTCCATGTTTACTCTACCGAACCTAGCTCCCTCTCTTTTTTTCGCTCTACTCTAGAACGTTTTGCAGGGTGTAGAATTTTGATCACTCACTGCCCACTTTGATGCAACCAGTCTATCATGCATGATTGTGTTCTCAGCCTTGACTAGTTCTAACATATTCTCATTCAGTTTGGTATTGCGTACTCAGCAAGTGTGATATTAGTCCCAATTGGCTGCGTATCTCTACTCGTGCTGGGCTCATTTTCACACTTCACAGTACGATATCAATATTTTATCCTATAACCTTCGGGGTCAATGACTTGGGGGATGCTCTTATACAATCTTTAGTAAATGAACTTCTCGTGCTCGTTGCAGGCCCTGAGGCCTTTGACGCGACGCTTGAGGTTACCTCACAAGTGTCTGATGGGATTCACATTGGAGTACCTGCGACGGCCACGACTACAAAGATCATTCTTGTTGCGAAACCATTTGGTGAGCAGCATCGATTTTGTGCTTCGTGCCATTGTTCTCTTCGGAAATAAGCCACTGCAGGCTGTGCTGGGAACAAACGGATAGATAAAGGTCTCCATCATGTTGGGTTACATTCTGAAATTCATCTTACTCTCGATCTTGGTAAAGGGACCAACTCATCGGGAATAGAAACTGCTGTGAGTCAATACCCCACTTCTCACGGATGACAACCTTTGCAGGAGCTCCGAACAAAGGCGTCAATTTGTCTTGTGAATTCCCGAATTCCCGAATGCCTTGGCATAGCCTTGATAATGCAGAAGGTGCGTGAGGTGATAAAAAACAGCGGAAACCACCCAAAATTCTCACATAAAAAGCAACCAAAGATGTTGCAGATGCAATTAAAGACGAGAGGGCGTTGACGGGCTTTTTAAAATAAGGCTCTAGTTCTGCTGGGAAGGACGCCAGATTGTTACACCGGTGTGAGATTACTAACCCGTTGGGTTATCGAATGTTTGGGTTGCCCGCAGGAAGCTTGTTGTTTGAGAAAGTTACTTCTGAAAAAATGGAAACGTATACTTTACTGACGGTGGTATGTTTTGTAAAGATTGTAAGTTTCGAATGAGTGTGCTATGCACAACGCGTTTGCTCCAAAAAAAGTCAATAATGTTATCAAAAGTAATTAGTGATTCCAAGTCCTGCGATCACTTAATGTGATAGTGGGAGATTTTCGTTTACCAGAATCCTGTCATCAAAATTTTTTGATTTTGAATTTGTTTTTGATTTTTTCCGACAAGTTTTGACTAATTTTTGAATTCATCAAGATTTCTAAGCATGTTAGGGAGCTAACTAGGACTATTCTTGACTCAATCTCTAGTGTTCCTTCTCCAATGCAAAATTCGAGGATTGCGGCTGCTTTAGGATTAAATGATCATAACAATATAGAATTTGAAAGTATTTGACGTTATCCCAAACCTAGATACTTCTAATAGTATTTACTCGAATTGCAACTTCATTGAGCTTCGCCATGATCAAGCCCAAATACCGTGGGTCCTTTAGTTGATTCAAAAAATGGTGTGCACGAGAAGTATGAGCTATTCTTATCCGTTCTGCACACCGCCATGGATTTTCATGTCCCACTAAAGAAATTTTTTCGTATCAAGTCCATTAGTCCATCTTGCATCTTCAAGAGATGTGGAAGCATCACAATTGCCTCTTCAATGAGGTCAGGCGGTCGAAACAAGGGGGATAGGAAAAAAGAAGAAAAGAAAAGGCAAGAGCTGAAATGGGTGTAGAGCTTTCACACACTGTTCTCAGGTTCGAAGACCAGCTGGAATGCCTCGCAGGTGGGGTGGATACATAGTAAGCAGAGATAAAATCGTCAGACAAGAAGCGGGAAAAACATACAGAAAAGCAAGAAAGTGAAACAAAAGCATAACTAGTACACATCAGGGATGCCCATCAAATCCAGTACAATGGATTTTCCGGTGGTTTTTATGAATCTGGATTAGTTGAAGCGCCAAGAATCGGGTGGGTAGACCATTTCGATGTTTGTACGGTGTGTAACTATTCGCTTTTAATCTTTGACGTCGCCTGCCCATTTTGGGACGCAGAACTTGACAAGTGCCCCTCTATAGGCGACTTGGTCAAAACGTCCGAAACTGAGACACTTCACACGTGCCTTCTCTTTTAGAAGTTTGAAAGCTAAAATCGGATCTGTTTCTGCACGGCTAAGGAACAGACTCTTCAGGCTTAAGCCGATTCTGGTAGGCCGGCAATGCTTGAGTTAATCTGCATTCGGGAGAGCTTCAGAAAGTAGAGTCCTGGTGAGAATTTTAAGGTGAGAATTATCTCAACTAAAATCATGCCTTTAGCAGGAAAGGAATTCTAGACAGGACTACAGTACTCGATTATGGAAAGCACATACATTTTGAAAGTCTGATCCATCTAGCGATATCAGAGATACGAAATGCCCAAACAGTATAGAAGACGGATCAGCCTAAGTCCCTTGATCAAGATTTTCTCTACATGGGTGCTCCACTTTAAATCAGAATTCAGAATGACCCCAAGATCCTTGATCACTCCAGACCTAGCTGCCGGAATCCATTTAGGAAATGAATCGCCAACTCCGATGGACTGAGCGAGAGCAGATGACTTCACCAAAGGTTGATTTTCAGACCCCATCTAAAGCACCAATTGTTTCTGGGCGGCATGGTTTAAGGTACTTTGAGCCGATCCAGCTAACAATAAGCAATAGATACTTAACATTTTCACCATAAAATGCTTGTTTGAATCTCAGCATCAAACTCAATGGCAGGAATGGGATCGTATATATGTAGGAGATAAAGTCGAGACAATATTCCTTGTTCTAGGCCTAGCTGTAAAGAAATAGTTGCAAACATGTACACTCATTTACAGTCAGATAGGACTCCATCCAGCAAGTAGCCTTTCTTTGAAATCTATGCTTTCGAGCTTTCCCAGCAGGTTAGAATGTAAGCTAATCAGGGCGTCCCTAGGTGGCGGGTAGTAAATGGCCGACCGAAAGTCGTCGGTCCTTGCCCAGAGACGCAGATGGATGAACTCCCTGTTTCTGCAGTGCTGGGTCGGTAAACCTTGTGTAAGTATATCCATTCACACGTGTGCGGAGAGACTGCGGATGCAGCCAGTATCCTGCTCATCGACTCAGCCAAACGCTTGCATTCGATTCGAGTGACTGGGAAGTATCCGAGAGGCGAATCGGGGCCGCCTCTAAAAATAAATGCTCGGAAAAGACGAATTAGCAGGGGATTCCCCCAATCAAAGAATGAGCCGTCAAGAAGGGTCAGGTCAAAACGCGTGGGACGCGTCAATGGTCGTTAAGAGATATGCGAGAGGTATGTCTGAGAGGAGAGATTAGACAACGCGCATTATGTCATGACGTGGAGAGAAACCCCGTTGCAGTCGACGGGCTGCGCGGTCCGAGGTCGGCCGCCAAAGAGTCCTTCCCCCTCGTTGCAGGTCTTAGTGGCCACACCCACCGGGTCGTCTTTTTCGCCTTTTCCCCGTCCCGCATTTCACTTTTTGTTTGTTTTTGCGTCTCTTTATTTTTTGTTAATAAGCTCTTGTTTTATTGTGTTGAAACGCATAAAGATCACAAGGAGGCCGAACTGACGGCTCTCAAAAAGTTCAAGTACCCATCGTTTCTTCGCCAATATTGACTCACAAAGGAGTCACTTGTCCACGAAGGGACATCAACAATTCAATAAAGAAGAGAAGAGAAAGTCAAGCCTCCTCTGACAGAAACATCAGTGCGAGCAAAAGCATGAGCTCAGAAACCGAGAGAACGGCTAAAGCGGATGAGGTGAAAGGAGCCAGAAGCACTGCTGTGGTGAGTTTTGATAATGAGATCGATTTGACAGAAAACATAGTAAATACGATACCAGATCTCCTAGCTGAGAATGTTGACAGGCATAGTGTTAAATGTTCAAAGTAAGATTGAGCCTCGTAAGGAAGAAAAATTTGAGGGAAACTGCTACAGGTGGCTACAATGGAAAGGAATAGATGGTGTGGAAGTGTTCAAAGAGTTTCATGCGCATTAGAAAGAGATGAGGACCTCATAGAGAGTCTATGTGACATACTTGAAACAAATGCGTTTCAAATAAAACGGAAGGTAGAGGACCTGAAGATAAGAAACGATAATCAGGACATTGAAAAGACAGGACTGAATCAAGTCAACGGTAAGGAACTGTGTTTAGATGCAGATCACCCCTCGCAGAGCTATTTAAGTTCTCATCAAAATCCAAACCAACATGCAGAACGAACGAAGATCTGTTGGAACTCAGAGCCGCACTCGAGTCAGCGTTCAATGGGCTCTGAAGACCAACTACAGACGGCAAAACCCAAGGTGAGAATAGAGTCAAATAATTACCTCGTGGCATTCTATCAAGCTTAAGCATGCGCTAACCCAGGCATATTCAGATATGGAGGAAAAGAAAACTTCAAGGAATTTGTCAGGTGGTTCCGCAGAAAGTTCTGTGGGTAAAGGCGTAAAAGCCTCGATCGAGATCTTGCTAGATGACCACTTGGATGGTCGCGCAAAAAGCCTTTTCCTAGCCATACCGGAACGTATCAAGCAGCAGAGATTTGGAACCGTTGTTGAAGAGCTCAATAAAATGCTCGCTCACGAGTTCACAGCATCTAGAATTCGAGCCTTAACTGATACTAGTCTCTAGTACTAGAAAAGTTGGAAAAGAAAAAGACCCTGGAAGCGCAATCGAGGACAAATCAATGGAGTGCGCACGAATTGTGGTAGAGAATCTCAAAGACTGGCTAGAGCAGATCCAGATCTTGGACGCATTGCACAGCGTAGAACCGAGGCACGCGTACGAAAAATTCAGAGAATAAACTATCGGATTTGACCAAGCTAATATGATTGACGATAGGCATGGAAAGCCATTCATCGCAAGACCCCTTTGAAACAAGAGCAAGGGAAGAGCAATATTACGAGCGAAAAGATAGGTATGACGAACAAATCAAAAATAATTATCAAAATGGGCGCAAAGAAGGTTCTGGAAACGCTAACATTCTGCGCCAAGAGCACAACAGTCAAGTTGAACAGTCAAGTTCAAGCTCAAATAGACTCTAGTTCGATGGTCAACATCGTACCTTTACGAGTACTAGCAGCCGCATAACATAAAGGATTTGATATAGAAACGTAAAAAGGGAAGATGATAAACGATAAACGAACGATAAAATTACAGGGCGGTATTCCGAGTGATGCCTTCCATATATCAATCAAAAATAGCAACGAGATCATGTTAGGAACAAATGCGCTGAAAAAGCTCGGCGTACAGGTATTAACGATACCCAGATCAAGCAACAATGTGAGGCAAATGATAGTCCTCTCAGCTCAGTTTTGGCAACGGTCCGAATAACAGTCCCCGCACACTGCGTGCGCCTCACCATTGCAATCTGCGATATTGCGGAAGAGTCCACAGAAGACATAAAATGGGCAGAGAAACAAGGCATAAGTAGTGGAGTATACAAAGTAGGGATTAAGAAAATCGTTTCACCCAATTAGAATCGAGAGCATGGACCTATAATCATGAAGAAAGGAGAAGAACTCGGTGAAGGTGAACGGGGCCCCGAAAATGGCTCAAGAATGTGGAGAATGCACTATGTAAAACTATGAAAATTTCGAAATAAACACCAACGAAAAGCCGCTGGCAGCCCTTTTCAAAAGAACGAATCTCTCAGGAATAGTGTTGCGTTGATCGTTAAAGCTTCAACGATACAACCTCCAGGTACAGTGGATCAAAGGGAGGGGAGCATCGTAGCGTACGCGCGAAGTCGAGGTGCAGTAGAAGCACTCGAAGATCAAGACGTCACAGAAAGGATACGTGTAGCAGTAGTATGCCCAATAAAGACGGAAGAATTCGAATGGCTGGAAGAGTTTCAACGAGATGAAAACTGGTCACACGTGATAAAGCTTTGGATTAACGGCAAACTCGTCGAAGTGATCGAGATAAACGGAATGAAAGGACCAGTTCGAGTATCTGATTTCGTGTTAGAACATAGCCAGCTAAAAATGTTTCAAGAAGATGGTTCATTAGTTCTGATTGTACTTAAGAGCGTTCGGTTTGACCTGTTTTTAAGAGCGCATGCAGGCGTTTTGGCCCGGTCATTTTTGTGCCAAAAAAGTGCCCAAAAAATCGTGAAAACAAGTATTCTGGCCCGAAATGACTGAAGACATAGACAAAAGGACGAAAGGGTGCAAAACTTGCTTAGTAAGCCATCCCAAAAGAATAGTGCACCCCCTTCAAACCCCGTATCAACAACGAAACTGTACGATATCGCAGGAGTTGATCTAGTGAAGTAAGGACGAACGACATTGGAAAATCGCGATGCTGTAAGACCACTTTCCCAAGTTTGCGGCCCAGTACCTGACAAAAGTGCAGAAACAGTAGCGGAAGTAATCTTTTGAAAGTGGATTGTCGACGGATACCGTAAACCCAAAGTAATTCCTTAGATAAATGCACAGAATTTGAAAACAAAATCACGGAAGAACTAGAAAAAGTTGCAAACATTAAGCACGTCTTTAGGAAAGGGTACAACCCACGTGAAAATGGTATAACTGAAGGAGTGAATGGTACAATTGTTGCAATGCTGCGGAAAACGACGAAGATACCCACGGAATGGGACGAAAGACTCCTCTTCTGTATGAAGGCCTACAACATGACATCACATAGTTCCAATGGAGAAAGTCATTATTTCATACTGCATGGTATTGACCCTACTACCCATCAAATTCCATCCCCGTACAAGAGTACACAATCGACACGCATACAGGTGATCTTAAAACTGCATTAGTGCAAAGGATCCGGGAAACTAACGAACGATTAAAAGAAAATTAAAGACAGAATTCGCGCGTACATGAAGAACGTGTATGATAATGAACATAACGTATTGCGCCAGGCACTCCACAGTAGGTCAAAGGGTATAGGTCAAATGTCCTACTGGAAAATGCACGAAACGTCTCTCTCTCTCCCAAAGCTCTCGAGCTGATACTCCAGCGTAGAACCGTGCAGGCTGCAAGCTATAACCAGCTGACGTCCCAACGTGCGAGGTTGTGCAGGAAAGCAATAAAGGAACATATGAAAGAGAGAAGAGCAGTAGTTTTGGTCGAAACAGCGGAGGTTACAAAGAGTGACATTCTTAAAGCCCGATGAAGATGGGTCAACTATTAGGGTGTTCGAAAAATTTTGAAAAAATACAGTCACTTTTTGTATCACAGAGTAACTACAGAGCCCTTCTTAGCCACAGTGTCTCTCCATCAATCGGAAAGGACATTGATGCCATTCCTCCAGTATGAAGGAAGGAGTGACGCAATTCATTCTTCTACCACCTACTTNACTTCTCGACAGTTGGAGAATTTTTTCTCTGCAGAGCAGACCTATGGGCCCCTGAAAGTATGGCAGTCATATAGGTTGAGGTCAGGTGGATATGTGGAGAGCGTAGTAGTCAGGTAATACCAAGTCACCAGAGTTCATACATCGGCGTCTTCGGCGGGGTGGTCGAGCATTATCCATCACAGTCGAAAATTTTCTTGGAATCCGCGTGAAATGGTATACTCAAAACACCATACCCAACACCTCTGTGTCCATCACAGAATACTCCTGCGTACACCGTAGTACACACTAGTTTTTGACGTGAATGCCTCGCCTTATAGCTGACTGGTGCCTAAAGTGCGCTGGTAGACATTGCGATTTCCTTTCCTGTGCGGATTTTTATACATATATATACATATTTTTTGACATTCTAATTCTGTGCAATGATGAAGTCGGTTGATGCCGTCGTTCGCTTACAGTCGAGGTGCTTCTGACACACACTGACTTGCTCCTGCTCAGCCAAGAAGTAGGCGATATTTGTAAAGAGGCCTTCTTTACGAGCGACTTCTGCGTAGAAATTCGTAAATGATGGAATAGAGAGTAGAGATCGTGTTCTTCATTTCTTGAGACTTTGAGGAGGATTGCTTTGACGGGAGGCCAAAACAGTGTCCTTATTCGAGAACAGTGGACGCTTTAACAAACTTTGTCAAAGCAAATTTCCTAGAGGAAGCGATTGTACCATTTATGGTAGGTGACAAGAGAAGTTCACTCCCACGTACCAGTCACCATATCGCATTCCAAACCTGGGTGTCGAAGCAATCAGTTTCTAATGGACGCAAAAGGCTCCGGTAGTCGTACCGATGGCACATGGCTTGGTCGAAAATCACTTACTTCGAACGATCACATGTATTACCGATTAGCTATAGTATTGATCTATCAACAACGCCCCTTTTCCTGCTATCGAATCCATAGCTCTTCTTTAGCGCGTTCGCGGGCAACATGCTTTCGAATTTAGAGGCAAAGTTCACTCAGAACTTTACTAATTTACTCAGAGACCCCCTAATACAAGATGACCTCTCTTCGTCGTCCTGACGGAACAGTTGCTGCATCTTGAAGGGCAATGAAGAAGGTCTTCTACGACTTCAACTTGGATCTCTTGGACAGCCTACCTGCCTACCTACCATCTTAGCCAAAACGCATATGTCGCCACTTCGAGTCTTCCCTTCGAAATTCGACATCACGTCGGTGAAGAATTGCATGGCGCCGAGTCCCGATAGGATCAAATCAGAACATCTAAAGAGCTTTCCGCCTGTTGGTGTCAAACCAATGGCTCGGCTATCGAGCTGTATCTGTTGCAATGCAAAGAGTTCACTTCCTGGAAAACTAGCAAAACTGTGTTGCTCTGTAAGAAGGTAGATTCGGGCGTTTTTGGCGATTATCGCACAATGGAGCTTCTGTGTGTGATATACAAACTGTCCCCACGCTCCACACCTTTTGTACTCTTACGGTAGTTCAACGAGTCATAAGACTCGTTGAAGTATCGTGAGAGTACAAAATGCCGTGTCTCACGTTCATCGATTTAGAGAAGGCCTTAGATACTGCCGAAACAGGAGCGGTGAGTGAAGCTCTGGGCAACCAGAGTCTACGACCTCGTGAACCTACGATAGCTTCACCACCAGGGTTTCGCCACTCTATAACGGATTCATCATCAACTTTTCAGTGCCGCTCTCGAGAACGTCTGCGTCATACATGGAAAGGCATGGAAGTGAAGGTCGACGGCCACTATTTACATCATCTCCACTTCGCAGACGGCATCGCGAACATTGTTCAGGCGAAACAAATGGTTTTTGAAAACTCTTGTGAAAATATCGGCTTACGACTCATCTCAACGAAGACCATGTCCATGAGGAACGGAACACGAATAACGAAAGGAACGAATACCTCCAATGCTCTGGCTATGTGTATCTAGTTCAAGAAAGTCAACATGATGAACAACCTAGCACCGGAGCTTAACAGAAGGAAACGCCCCGCGTAGGGAGCATTCAAGTATATCGAGGGAGTAGTGAGGAAGATTAAAGAACATCCGGCTCTGCACTCACCTTTTCAACCCTGCTGCGGTCTTTCTTGCTGACATACGCCTCAAAGACTTGGACTTTCTGAAAGCAGGATGGGCATGCAGACAACGCCATCCAACGCGTAGTGGATAAGACGATGCTCGAAAATTTCCTATTCACGCAAGCGCAGCTGGAAACCTGGAGTTTCGCGCTCGTCAACAAACCAAGATTAGGGATCCATTGCTTACTTCATTCCCGTAGGTGGTTTCGGGCGCTGATCTCAAATCTGTGTTCCAAATCTGCTAAACGATTCTGGGAACAAAGTTTCGGGACCGCTGCCTCCCTGTGTTATACCACACTAACGAACGGATCACTGAGCCGAGCAAAGGCCGTACCTGTGCAATGGTGGCCGAGCGGGTAGTGTAGTGGACTGGTAGACATGACATNAAGGGTCGATTCCTTGATGCATGTGCTCGTTTTGCTTTCCCATAAAATGTGTCTTAAACGCTTGCAAAACGTTTTTGGGCTCGATATTGGGCATCTACGGAGCTCCCTCACAATTAAGGAACGCTGAAAAGGATTACAAGGGAGGTTTTTTTGCCCCTCACCGGCCGAATAAGGGTGGAGTTACATTCGAACAAAAAAGGAATTTTGAACATTTGCTCAAAATGGGCTCAAAAGGCTTGAAGGAGGAAGGTTCTAAATGATTCATCGCGTCGAAAGCTATTCTATATTTACCAGCACATCTTCTGACCGAAGGGGGTGTCATCATACTTGATAAAGGGCTTCCGATCTTGCAGCATAACGTGGGCACTATCTAGGGAGAGGCGGTAATGAAGAGCTTCTGGACCGTACTTCTTGCTGTGGAAACAAGCCCGTCCTCCTTTGTGAGGAAGTCGGGTCTGGGGAAGGCGATCACGACGATCCTCTCCGGTCGCCTGATGATGACAGATGATGGACCCGTACTTTCGGAAGGATACAGAGGTTCCGGAGTGAAACCTAGCTTCCAAGTTTGTGATCTTACCCATGAGCTCCAATTTTATGGCGCTGGTAGATGAGTCGATAGTCTCCTATAGCTCGAGCTGGTTGGTTGGTCGCAACATTAGGTGCAAAAGAAGCGGACCGATCTGCCCACCTACGGAGAAGAGCGGATATTTATATGGGGGTCCTTCTACACGGCAGTCATTTCCACCGGATACCGCTTCAAATCAACAATGGAAGACCATTGGAGACAACTTCAAAGCAAGCCGTCGGCGGATTCAGGGTTTTGTGTACAGCATCATGGTATCACGCCTCACCGCATCATCACATTTACCATAGAAGGTCTCTTGAAAGGGCGTTTACCTCAAGAATAGAATTAGCGGAAGATCATATGTGCACATAAGACGATAAATTATTGTTCTACAGTATTACCCCAACAATGCCAGTTAACTTTTACATACGCTTACAAAGCGCGGACAGTATTCGTAGAACATGAGGACCGTATCCCTCCCAAAGAGGGCTGTGGTCGGATGACCCATTCGACCGCCACCTACCGTAAGTGGTGCAGGGCGCTGTAGAAGATTTCGAAACACCATCTTGAGTGCTCAGGGTAGGGAGGCGTACATACTACGGTCAGTAGTAACACAGGGAGGCATCGGTTCCGTATCTTTGTTCCCAGAATCGTTTAGCAGATTTGGAACACAGATTTGAGATCAACGCCTGAAACCACCTACGGGAGTATACTTCTCATCTCGAATGGCCACTGCGACCTAGTATCCTTTCCTTGTCAGAACGAAAAAATGCCCCGCCCCGTGTCCTTCGAAACCTACTCGAGGTCCTTCCACTGGACTACTCTTGCTTGCGACAGGGACAAATGGGGGTAACTCGTCTGCTCAAGGAAACCTATGACCAAGGGAAATTCAAGATTAGTCTAAAGTTGGATATCAATTTGAAATCATTCGTCTTTGGCGAAGTGATGACACTCGGACGTTTCTTGATTGTGAGGACTTGCCATAGTAATAAAGAGATGCATAACACATGCATACATACATGTTATACATGCAAGAGAGGTGAAGCAAGCTCTTTCACAAACTCCCTGGGGAACAATTGGAGGTAGTCAAAAAAAGACTTCAGGGATGAAGGTGTTTCAAAACCATTTGTGGGTTTATGATAGGTACGTCAGAGCACTCCCCATCACCTCCTTCGAAAATATGTGTGAGCGGTCGGTTTTCAAATTATCTTTCTCAGAAGTCTTTTGACTTTATGGACTGGGGAGCATTTGACTTTATGGACTGGGGAGCATTTCAAGTAACGATCTAGCATCCTGCTGCCTTCTATGTTGTAGGCTTGCTAGAATCGCCGGGATCAATGTTTTGTCAGACTCGTTCTTGCTGCGAATGTGTGGGAGATAACTTCTCCATGGCACTTGTGACATCTCCATGAGACGAAAAATTCAATCACACTATAAAATAAACGAAGGAACCTTGTGAAAACATTATCCATAATCAGAAAAGATAGCTAACCAGTCTATGTGCATGAAATTATATGCTACGTCATCTTTGTCCATGCCTCGAATTCTCTGCACTTTTCAGGTTNCATCTCCATGAGACGAAAAATTCAATCACACTATAAAATAAACGAAGGAACCTTGTGAAAACATTATCCATAATCAGAAAAGATAGCTAACCAGTCTATGTGCATGAAATTATATGCTACGTCATCTTTGTCCATGCCTCGAATTCTCTGCACTTTTCAGGTTGCTTAGCGTTAAAGGCACGGTTCACGATATAAAAGGTTACTGAGTTCTTCTTTTGGTACTCAGCGCCCACCATGGGTGGTAGAAGGGACCCTCTCACTCCCACAATCTCGGCGTTTAGGGCATAGTGGAAGCCCCGTTGCTGCCGTAGTTCGCTTTTCCGCCCCTCGATCGGTGTCACGTTAGACGAGTGTCGAGACAATACAAATTGCTAATATTCGTTCTAGGACCCACGCACAATCAGCTAATCGCTGTGTGATGAGGCGATGTTTTTCTCCCATTCTTTTTTCCCCTGTTTTTCTTTTTGCTGCCGCGATCCCTTATTCAATTTCCTACTCCTTGAAGCTGAAAAAGGTAAGCTGTTTTTGCTGTTACTAGGGTTTTTTGTTTATTTATGTTCATAAGTGAATGAATTTCTTCTTACCATTGTCTGTTAATCGCACCAGGACCCACACGCGTGCAGTGAAACGCACTGTTTAGCTCGTCCGGACGCCCCACTCTTCTTCATTTTTCTGGTTTCATTCTCGCCCAGCCCCATTTTTAACGGTTTTCCGAAGCCTTTTTCACTTTGGAAACACCGATGCACGCAGTTCCTTCACCTCAGTCGCACTAGTTTCAATCTTGTCTTCCATTTTTCGTCATAATCTGGATTACCCAAAATTATCGTGAACTGTGCCTTTAAAGGCACACTTCACGATAAAGATGGTTTCTTAGATTTCAACTTACGACTACCTAGTGGTCCTAGGGTAACAGGAAGGATGCTGTTGGCCGCAAAAACTTAAGAACTAGGGCATAAAAGGAGCTCCATTATCGGATCGGTCGGATGCCGCGCCCATCGACGTTATTTCAGACGGGTTGTATAGGCGGTACAGACTGCAATATTCGCACACGGACCTACACGTTCAGCACACAATCAGCTGATCGCTTTGAGGGGCGTTTTGCTGCTGCAGTCCTTTAGCTAGTTTTCCACCTTGGGAGTATGAAAAAAATGGGTTGTTTTTGTTCTTAACAGTGTTTCTGTTACCTTATGCTGGAGTAAAATGAATTTCAAAGGACATTTTCACCGTATTGGCCATTCGCACCACGATCCACAAGTATGCAATGACACTTATTGTATAGTTCGTCCAAACACCCTTTCTACTTCATTTCTCTGCTTCTGCTTGCTTCACTCTCCCAAAACCCCTTTTTAACGACTTTTTGAAGCCTTTTATCACCTGAGAAACATCTGTTTGCGTGCTTTCTTTGCCTCCATCGCACTATTCTCCACCGTTTCTTTATTTTTCCGCCATATTGTGAATAATCCGGAATATCGTGAACTGTACCTTCAAGCAAGGAGAGTGAGACTACACTATGATTAGGCGAGGAAAGAGGTCACAGCGGGACAGTTTGAGATAGCAAGGGTAGATAGCACAACACCCAAAAACTTTCTTTGACGTATAGGAAAGCTAAGAAACTGAGAGAACGATAGAGTATCGAAAATGGAGAGAAATCTGCTTGCGAAAGGTGAGTAGGTAGAGCGTTTAACCCAGTCGATATCAAGGTTCGAATTCCTTAACACAGTTGCTGAGATCGGCCTCGCAGAGGCGAGGTCAACTATAATCGATAATAGAATCTCTTCCTAAACGTTAGACGAATTTGGGGGGTGGTAAATCGGAAAAATCTATGCTCCCTATTCGGTGACAGAAAAATGTCAAAGCACATCACATATGCCATAAGAACGGTGCAATTGAAGTATACCCTTTCAAAGAGAAGGAGACCGGAAATCGAAGCACAAACTACTTCACCCCTTCGACTTGATCAGTCTTGCCTAAGAACTGAGAAGGGGAGACGGCTAGAAATTCCAGTGTCGGGAATTTTTTTGTTTCGGTCCACAGCCACAAAGACCGGAGATTGTCTCGATGCCAATAAAAAGCAAATATGGAAAATCGGACGGGCATTCAGATGAATACAAGAAAGAGTTAAAGGTTGGCCCGAGTAGGTCGGAAAGACCGAAGAAAAGGCCACGTCTTCTGAAAACAGGGTTATCAGAAAATTTGACAAGCTTTCCTAGTGAACAGTGAAGATACGATCACCCTAAACTCATTTTTCGTTGAATTCTCGCGCTGGTTCTTCCTTCCGTTGATTTTTTTCCTTATCACGCTCTTGCGCGTCATTGATTCCCGAAGAAACACATGCTTGTATGCAAGCATGGACATATCATCACATATCGTGATGAAAAAGAGCACTTTACTAGCTGGACCTGCCCTGTAACATGGGACGCATCCGGTATGTTTCAACCGGAGGGTTTCCACGTCCAGAGCATCAATAATGTCAGCAATAGAAGACTCTGTATGAGCCTGACGCCGAGAAGGTGGCAGGTTCTCCTCAACTCCAAGCACACCAAACAACACAATGTACCTTTTGTGTTTTTCAGCATCAGCAATTTCTCTCTAAAGCAACTGCAAATAACTTATGAACAGCTCCAGAAGCGGTATTACCTCGGAGCCTTTTCAAATAGTACACTGTGAACCTTGTGTAGCGCTGGAATGCTGCCGTTCTTTGGTAAAAGGAGATTTAGGGAAATGACCAGCCGTATTAGAGAATAAGCTGCCTTTTGCAGGAAATTGGCGGGCCGGAGGAGACATCATTGATTGAATACAGCTGCTCACGGCGAGCGCACAGTCGAGAATAGATGAAGACATAAGAATTTATAAGCCGATTTTTTATTTCCAACATTGGGAAAAAAGCAACAAGCGAATAAGTTGACAGGGAATTAGTCCAAAGAGTGACAATTGCCTATGGCGGCACGAAAAACGGTGCACATGAATTTAATATCAGGAACTTCGTCTTCCCCCACGATCGTACAGAATTGATGGTGTCCCACTCTCCGCTGGGAGTCTGTCAGAGACTTAGGCTCTTACTGTAGCAATAAACCAGATCAACCGAAGCATATCAAGAGAAGGGTCAAACTGGCCCAGTTGCACACTTTTTACATTTTTAAAGCACGGTTCACTACAGTTTTAGGGTATGTAGTTTAAGATGAATTATGGAATGGTAGTCCGACGTAAAGCAAAAGTGACAAAGAAAACGCGAAAAATGTACAAGTGGGTGTTGGAACGGTAAAGCTGCATGAATGGGGTATTCGGACGAGCTGCCAAAAGCGCGTGCACTGTCTGCGTGCAGTGTGTAACGACGCTTGCAAACTCGTCCGCCCTGGTTTTCAGTCTTTGGGGGTCACAGATTCATCCAAAGGAGTAATCTCAGAAACCTGAGACGAGACGTAAACTATGTCCGTTACGAGTAAACAAGCACAATAGCAAGCCTGCAAGTCTCGGGTGCGACCTCTGGTGGAATCTGTTACCACGGTATTCGATCCCCCGAAGGTGAAAGACATTCATACAAAAGTGCGAAGCAATTTGCTCCTAAATTACTCATTCGACTAAGAGAATTGTCGTTCTTCAGGGTACTGAAAGCTGCAACTAGGAATAGGTTCTTCGGTGACCCTCACAAGAATCCAGCGAAATTTTCCATTTCGGCATGATTTATGAGATGATTAGAGACTCGTTTCGATTTAGCTATTCCACGGTCTTCAAAACATTAAGCTCGAGTGCGAGAGAGAGGACCACGAAGACTTTTCACTTACTGCTCAAACTTACGAGCTAGGAACTTTTCCTACGGAGCTGGTAGTTCTTAATTGAAGATAGACGAAAATATACCAAAATACTCGATCACTTGCTCAGTTCGAACATCATATGGCAATCCTTTCACTTAAGTACGATGAGTCCTAACGTTTTATGAGACTATTTATCTTTTACTTGCTGTTATCTATGCTTGCATATTTAGGAGCTTCGATCGACTTTTTCCTTCCGTTTAATGTTTCATGTTTCTCAAGGCACTCGCTTTTCACGTGGGCCTTTCACAAAATATGATAAAATGGATGTATGAACTTGCAATTAGGCGCGAATCACGTTGAACCCCTTTAGTTTGAACAAGGCTACATTTCCATCCAATAGAGCAGTAGTAGAGAAGCAAATTGAAAATTACACTTTGGTACACATATTTTGTACCAAAAATCTGATTGGATTTCGTTCTAACCACACCATTGTATAACATTTGTCCTTGCATACACACTTGGTACATTCCAGGACAGGGATCGAGCTATAAAAGATAGTGACATATGCAGAGAAGTCATAGGACGTCTCGCTAAATTCGAGGTTATCTTAGGTCTGATGTTCAACTTGTAAATGTACAGCATTCATTCACCCTGCAGCAGGTAGAGGGAAAGAGAGAGTTGTGCCTTGAGGACACTTCTACGAAGCCGTACTCGTACTCATTTTTCAACAATGCTGAAAAATCAACACTTCATCGCCTTCTCTGTTTTCCAAGACTAGCTTCATGGGCTGACAATTCGGGATTGTAGGCTGGAAAATGATTTTTCGAAGGTGCAGCCAGCGAACGATGGGGCTACAGTAGGACTGGTGGTGGTTTCCCCATTTGAGAAATGATTAGTAGTACCAATTCCGACTTCTATCTAACATTAAAACAATGCTAAGACATGTTGCGGTTGGCCAAATGGAAATCACCT